GCGGAGCCTTTAGACCTAGGTGCAGGGGGGGAAGCGGGGAGGAGGCAGAGGCATTCCTAACTGGGGTGGGACTGGAGAGGCTCCCCCCACCCCGACCTGTGCTCCTCCACTCTTCTTCCCAACTTCTGTTTGCTACACAGATTTCTCTGATTTTTCTGCTTGTTTCCGGGAATCTCGCCCAGAATTTGGAAGAGGGCCGTTGGCTCGAGGGCCTGGAGGACGGGGAGGCGTGAAAGGAGGAGAGGCCGGCAGTTGAGAAGGGAAACCCTGAAATCCAGTTAGCGTGTGGTGCTCGGGAAGCAGGGGCCAGAGACTCCGTGGTCTAACAGTGGAGGGAGGAGGGATGGGCCTGGGGGTCATCAGAGGGATGGGGTGAATGGAAAGAGAAGGTAAGCACCCACTGCTGATGGGAGACAGCAGATGAAGGGCAAAGAGGCAGACAACAGTGGGAAGGGGCAAGGGAAACTTGCCCTGAAATGCACCTGTGGGAAACGTGTCAGGGGGCCAGCTGGGCTACGGTGAGAGAAGGGGTTGGGGGGCAAGGGGGCGGTGGGGAGGCACTCCTTAAACAAACTGTCAGAAACCCTAATAATGTGGTGGGGCCAAGGGAGTCTGGAATGATTGCAGAGGGGCAAGTGTGCAGGGTGAGAACTGGCTGAATACCTGGGAGGTGGGGGCGGGATTGGCCATTTGAAATGATGGGGGGCGGGGGGCAAAAGTTATAGGAACCCATACTCTGGGTGCTCTTGGGAACCCTGGCCAGAAAGGTGGACACCCCACCACCACCACCCTCCCTCCCCTCATTCAAGGCAGCCCGTCCTCTATTCCCCTACTTTCCCAGAACCTGTCCCCACTCCATCTCCACCCAGTGTCAACCAGTGGGTTATGTGGACTCCTCAGGCAGTGCTATGCCCAGCGTGTCTCCCCACCCACCACTGCCCTTCCCCAGGCCCCGCCCATCCCCAGCACTCCTAGCCCAGCCTTCCTTCCTAGAGGGAGGAAGAGGGACGTTTCCTTCAGCAACCCACACCCTCCTGGCTCTGGATTATGCAACAGCCATCTCATTCTTTCCTAAAACAAGGGCTCTGGGCAGTGACTAAATTTAAATTCTGGGCCTCCAAGCAAGAATGCCAGGGCTGCCTGAACTTTTAAGAAAATATAAAATAAAAGAACCTCACTCTCAGCACTGCCCCCCAGGCCTACCCTGGGTGCCTAGAACCCGCATTTGGGGAGCAGGGTCTTCCAGCAGCCCTGAGACACTGGTGCAGTTGGCCAGGTAGGGAGGTGGGGCTTGGGGGAGCGGAGGAGGCAGCTCTCCTCCACTCGGCAGAGGCTCTGTGACCTCCTGCCCCAGGCTCTGACCCCAGGGTGCAGAGCTTTGTCTTGTCCCCAAACCTGTATCGCTCTATTTTGCCCTGCACATGGCTCTGGCAAGGGCTTTTCTCTTGGGCTCCAGCTGCCTGCTCCTGAGTAAGACAGAAAGGCCTGTGGGAAGCTGGGATGGGGATGAGATGGCTGTGCTCCCTGCAGGCTCCCAGTGTGGTTTATTTTTATTTTTTATTGTTTGGGCTCCTCCTTTGTGAGTTATATTGCAGAAAAGCCCAATACTCTAGCCTCTCACATACACCACTCTCTTCTCAATACCTCCTCCTCCTCCTCCTCCTCCTCCTCCTCCTCCTCCTCCTCCTCCTCCTCCTCCTCCTCCTCCTTCTTTTAGAAGTCCAATGCGCTATCCATTGCGCTATCTTCTTCTTTTTTAATATATTTTATTGATGTTTTACAGAGAGGAAGGAAGAGAGATAGAGAGTTAGAAACATCCGATCAGCTGCCTCCTGCACACCCCCTACTGGGGATGTGCCCGCAGCCAAGGTACATGCCCCTGACTGGAATCCAACCTGAGACTCTTCAGTCCGCAGGCTGACACTCTATCCACTGAGCCAAACCGGTTAGGGGAATACTCCCTTCTTAAACTCCCCCTTACCCCTTGCCACATCTCAGCCATTACCACCACCCATAGAGATTTCCCCTGTTTAATGCTCCCACCTGCCCAGCGTGGTCCCTCCCTGCAGTCTAAACTGGGTTGCACAATCCAGTACCACCCACCACCTCAACACTGTACTTCCCCTCCCCCCTTCCCTCTGGCATGGAAGTCCAGAGCTGTATGCTGTCAGAGCTGGGGTCTGACCAGGCTCTTTCTTGCAGACTGGGACTCATGAATTTGCTTCTCTTCCCTTTGGGAAGGCCTCCACCTCAGCATCCACAGCAGGGATCTGAAGCACATAGTGGGCACTCAGGATGGAATGTGAGCCAAGGTGCACACCCCTGGGAATCTGCTGGCCTCTGTGTGAGAGGAGTTTGCTAAAAGCTCCTGCCAGAGCTGCGAAAAGGCCCAGAGTGTGTTCAGGGTTCAATAGGCCCCAGGATAAATCAAAGAGGGCTTCCTGGAGAACAGGCATTTACAACAGAGTTTGGGAGAAGAAATGAATATGGTGGAAGAGAGTGGAAGGAGGAGGGTGTCTCAGGAGGGACAGATACGAAGGTAAAGTATAGCTATGTGTATATACATGGTTAGCACACAGACTTATATTACCTAACTCTGTTCACTAAGAGGGCCTAGAAGCAATGACATCCCAACAGCAGTGAGTGCTCCTAGAATCTAGATCTTGGTTTTCAAATACCATTCTCCAATACAAGGAAACAGAACCTCTTCCAGAAACAGCTGCTTCTAGGCTGGAGGCAGGGAAAAACAAGATAAGCTGGAGTGTCTTGTAGAATCAGAAAGTAAGGAAGCAATCAGAAGGATGGAAGCATATCAGAGAGGTACGAGAACCAATCTGAAAGAGCTCCCAGTGGTCAAAGCTGAAAAAAATTTGTGCAATAAAAGAAACGGTACATATGTAATACTCTTTGTAATACTTTAAGCAATAAAACAATAAAAAATAAAATAATAATGAAAAAAGAAACAGTATTGGACTAAATAAGGTATAAAATAAATATACATGAATGCACACTGATTGTGTGTGAGGGCTGCTGTAACACAGTACCGTAAATTGTATTGTTTCACAGTTTGGGATACCAGACGTCCAAAATCAAGGTGCTGGCAGGGCCACGCTCCTTCTGAGACTCCAGGTGGAACGCTTCTTGCCTTTCCCTGGCTTCTGATGGTCACCATCAGTCCTTGGCCACTCCCTGAGCTGAGGATATAGGAATAAGTCTTTTCCCATGAAATGAGTTATTGCTGTTGGTCAGTCCTTCCTAATGTTTCCCCCATCTGCTCTGAAAGTGTTTCATTTCTATAACTATCTGACGGTTTGGGTTCTCATTATCTTCACCTGTACCGTGTAATAGTTTCCTATGGGCTGCCAAGTTTTCAGACACTATTCTATACCTAGACAATTCTTTCTGAAATGAAAGTAGAATATATATAATTCATCTGCTCAGAAACTTTCAATGACTCCTATTAACTCCAGTATCAAGTCCAAATCCTTGGTTTTAAATCCTCTAGTTCTATAACCCCTATTATTACTTGACAAGAACCCCCTACCCCTTAACCAAATATGCTCTTTGAATTCAGACATCTGAACTTTTGCTCACAATCACATTCCTAATCTTTCCCTTCTTCTCTAACTGCTGAACCACTGCTCTAGAGAAAACAGACAAGCAAATCAACAACAACACTATCTATATATATAAAAGCCTAATATGCATTGTCCCCTCGGGAGTTAAACTGGGAGACCAGGAGTTCGATCGCTCGCTATGATGTGCACTGACCACCAGGGAGTGGCACAGAACGAAGGAAGGCCCCAGCCAGCAGCTGGAAGGCCCCAATCGGCCCTGATCGCCAGCCAGGCCTAGGGACTCTACCTGTGCACAAATTTCGTGCACCGGGCCTCTAGTGTAAGGATAAGAAGGATCAAAGGCCAAGTGAACAGAGAGGTAGAAGAACTTAAGTTTGCCTGAAAGAATCAAAGAAGGCTTCACGAAGGAGGTGATGCTTTGGTTGATTATTAAGAGTAGAAGTTTGTGAGGGAGGGAACTAGGGAAAGGGTCTAAGCCAGTGGTTCTCAACCTTGGCTGCACATTAGAATCACCTGGGAATCTTTTTAAAATCCTGATTGCTGGGCCTCATCCTCCGGAAATTTTGTTTCTTTGTTACTAATGTTGTGGCCCCACCCCATAACAAAGAAACAGAATTTCCGGGGTAGGAGGCCCAGCTGTGGGTTTTTAAAAAGATTCCCAGGTGATTCTAATGTGCACCCAAGGTTGAGAACCACTGGTCTAAGCAGAGGCAGCAGCACCTGTCTTTAACAAACACATGGCTGTTTATCATTTATCTCTTCTTAACACCTCTTCCCCACTGTAAAATGGAAGTTGCAATACATACTTTGCAGAATTATTATGAGTGTTAGGGATAATCCATGTAACATATATGGTAGGCACTCAATAATTTTTTTTTTTTTTTTTGGTAATGAATGAATGAAGTGTCAAACTCAGTTCCTGGCACACACCAAGATACTCAGTTTTTGTTGAATGAATGATCCTGCCCTGGTTCAAACCTGTGGTGTCCACAGCTGAAAGTCTATGCTTTGGAAGGCCTCATTGGACTAGAAAAGATCCAGAGAAAGGCAATGTTTCAGCAAGGTAGGATACCAGCCTTTGAGAACTAAACAAACAGATGAGGGCTCTTCAATCTGAAAAGGAAGCAGAAATATTCAGCTTCAACTCAAGTTCAATAAATGCTTATTTATTTTTTGCATAATTCTCACAATGTTTCATTATGACATCCAGATAAGAAGACACATTCAGAGAAGTTAAATACCTTGCCAAAGCCCACACAGCTGGGTGGTGAGATCCACTGGATTCCAAGTTCAATGCTCTTTTCACTTCAACACAAAAACTTTCATGATGTGGAAAAACATGAAGAGTTTGGCTAAGTTAAAAAAAAAAAAAGAGTTTGGCTAAGTTAAATACAGTCTTTTCCCCCCTAAAATCTCTAAATACTCAAACCACATGTAATTTCTAGAGCAAGAGAGAGGTTGTTTTAAGATAAATAAAAGGAAGGGTTCTCTTCTATTGCGAATGGAGTAGGAATAATCACAAGAAGTATATTATGATAATCAGCACAGACTGGAAAAGGAAAGAAGTTAGAAAATAATAAAATGATAGATAAAAGATCTCTGGCAAGTCATGCAAAGACTAGACCTCTTCTTCTTCAACTTCTTGAGCTGTGAGAATACCACAAGCTTAAGACTGGGCTCTTTCCAAAGGCAACCTGGGACTCTTTGAGGTCTGGGCAAGCCTGCTGTGCCCTCCCATAGCCTGTAATAAAACATTGGTTATAATAAATATTTCTTTTTTCCTCCCTAAAATTTTGTCCTGAGAATCTAGAATTTAATACTAGACAACCAGAGTAAGCTTAGGGAAATAGCAACTAAATCTCATACATCAAAATCAAATATAGCCCTGGCTGGGTGGCTCAGTTGGTTGGAGCATCGTCCCCTAGCATCAAAAGGTTGCGGGTTTGATTCCCAGTCAGGGCACATACCTAGGTTGCAGGTTCAGTCCCTGCTTGGGGCATGTATGGGAGGCAACTGATCAATGTTTCTCTCTCACATCGACATTTCTCTCCCCCTCCCTCTCTCTCTAAAATCAATGAAAACATATTCTCGGGTGAGGATTAAAAAGATCAAATATATGCAAAATTAATGTATGCAATAAATTATATTTCTGTATATTAGCAATGAACAATTGGACATTAAAATTAAAAAGAACATTTACAATTGTATAAAAATACGGAATACTTAGGGGATAAATCTGACAAAGCATCTGCACACTGAACACTATAGAACATTGCTGAGATCAATTAAAGAAGACAAATAAATGGAGAGAGATGCCATGTTTGTGGATTTGAAGACTGCCTATTGTTAAAATGTCAGTTCTCCCAAAATTGGCCAATTAAAATTTCAGAGAACTTTTTTTTTTTTGGTAGAAATTGGCAAGGTGATTTTTTTTTTTAAAGTGTTGCCACAAATTCACAGTGAAATACAGTGAAAGCTTGTGATGACAAATTTAGTCTTTCTATTTAATTACTTTAAAGATTTTTAAAAGTTCATTTTCAGAGACAGAAGGAGAGAGAAACATTGATGTGACAGTGAAGCATCAGTCAGCTGCCTCCAGCACGACCCCCACCGAGGATGGAGCCCACAGTCCCAGCATATGCCCGGGAATCCGGAATTGAAGAGGCCATCTTTCTGTGCACGGATGAGATCCAGCCAACTGAGCCATAACTGCCAGGGTGGCAAGCTGACTTTTCATATGGAAATACAAAGGATCAGATCTGGAATAGCTCAAACCAACTTTAAAAAAGAAAAACAAGCCCTGGCCAGGTTGTTAATTGGAGCATTGCCCTGTACATTTAAAAAAAAAAACAACATTGCGAGTTCAAACCTGATCAGGGCCCAAGCCTAGGTTTCAGGTTTGATCCTTGGTGAAGAGTATGTAGGAAGCAGCTGACTGATGTTTCACTCTCACATTGATGTTTCTCTCTCCCTCTCTCCCTCCCTCTTTCTCTAAAATCAATAAAAACATCCTCCAGTGAGAATTTTTAAAATGTAAAAATAAAGAATAAAATTGGAGGACTTATATTACCTGATTTCAAGACTTATTATAGAGTTCTAGTAATCAAAACATAAAGATAGAACAGTGGAACAAAACAGAAAGTCTAGAAATATACTCACATATACACGGTCAATTGACTTTTTATCATTTTCTTAAATTTTTTTTTTTACTTGCTCAATTGATTTTTTACAAAGGTGTGAAGGCAATTCAGTAGAGAAAGGATAGTCTTTTTAACAAATGCTGCTGGGACAATTGGATATCCATAGGCAAAAAATAAACTTTGATCCATATCTCACACCATATACAAAATCTAACACAAAATGAATCATATATCTCAATAAAGTTGTTAATACATAACCTCAATCTAATAATGAGTAATCAGAT